ATTTTTATTTAATACTGGTTATTTAATTCCCTATTAAACATGAATTCTTTATAAATGTTGAGAAAGAGGTTTAGATCAAGACTGTAATTGACATGAGTAATGAAGTCAACACATCAAATATGGACAAATAAAACATCTCTCTTACTGATAATTATTTATTCTCTTTTTCCAGCTCGTCTGCCTGGTCCTGTCATCAGTAGTAACACTTCACAAAATGTATCATCATCACGATCATTAGTGTCCAGTTGTGTGTTTCTGTGTTCAGTGGTGAATGTGGGTCATGTGACTCTCTCCTGGTACAAAGGAAACAGTTTATTCTCCAGCATCAGTGTGTCTGATCTCAACAGAAGTCTTTCTTTACATCTGGAGTGTCTGGATGATTCCTACAGCTGTGTGGTGAACAATCCCATCAGCAACCAGACACAGCATCTCAACAACACTGAACTCTGTCAGGAATGTGCAGGTACATCTGTGATAATATTTTGTGTTTATGTACACATTCACTCACACTAATGACTGTCTCCTTCATATCTTCCAGATGACTCTGTGTCTCTGATAGTGTTGGTCTCTGCTGCTGCTGCTGCTGGATCTCTGTTGATTGTAGCTGCAGTTGGAATCTTCTGCATCTGCAAGAAACACAGAAAAACAGATCAAAAAGGCAAGCATTGTCTACTTTAACCTACTGCATGTGTGTGTATAATGTAAAAGAATGCTCAATATTAGTTCATTGTGTATTTTGTTTCTGTTATATTTTGTTACAGTTCAGGCCCGTGATAGAGAGATCACTTACGCTGATCCGACATTTTACAAAAGACAAAAATCGGTAAGAGAATATATTTCTGTCTATGATGTTTCTGTATTATTTTAGCAGTGAATCCAATTTTAGGTGTGTTTAATGATTTACAAACACAAGCACCACAACAGACATTTATAAAAGCAGCAGATGTATGTTGATGTCTTTCCGTCTTCTACTCTGATACATTTATATTGTAGGGTCACACAAAACCATCATTTAGAGGCATTACAATATTGCCACATCACAAACACTTATATGTCATCCAAGACACATCTATTCTCTCCAAAATGTGAAATTACTATATTATAGGTGTAGCAAATTAGCTTAAAAGGGAAATATTTATAATGAATTATAACTGGTTATAATTAATAATACATATTTAGATTAGATCTTAGAATTAACTGTAGCAGAATCAATATCACAATTATTTGATCTGGCCATCCACCGAGCAGACAATATAATCATTTATCAATTCAAGGAAAGATTATTTTCCTGGCCAAGAAACAGTAGCTTTCCTACTTTATGCAGTACTAGCAGTAGTTTAGCATGTAGCAAGAATCAACATTCAGTGACCCCGTATTGTGAGCAGCACACAGATACAATCAATTGTGAATATGAGGGATTTAATAAATGAAACTATAGCTAACATACAACTAAATTAATCAAAACACATATATACAGAATAAAGGAAAGTAAGGAAAAAGAGAGAAGAAGAAAAGAATGGCAGTATTTCACATCAATTAACCACAACCTAATGAGAATCATCAGAGAATCAAAAATCACCTAAAAAGGGGCTCAAACTTAAACACGCATCTAAATAGTTGTAAATGGTTACTTGCATTGGCTTTGTTGCTGAACAAGAGTCCTGATGTGATAGACAACAGAGGTTATTGATGAGTTCTTTAGGAGTGAACTGGAGGTAATAATATACAGGATATGTGATAGGAAGGTCAAAGAAAGGTTTGTCTGTGAATGAGAGTCCATTTATATGGCATTGTGTGTCTTTCCTATGGGTAAATTAATTGAGAGTTGCTCTGCCCGCATTCCTTTGGGCAATAAAACCAGTGTTATTAGCATTGGTTGCCATAGAACCAGAGGCCTGTTCTGCCTTTTTGAGGTGTTAGCCACATTTTGGGGGAAGGGTCCATAGACCCTCATATTTGGTTTGTTGATTGAGGGGTATTTGTTAATTTTGTTAAAATTGTGTTTCTGATTGGACCAGACGCTACATAGGCAAATTAAAATGACCTAATGAAAATATTTAATCAAGCAAAGAAAGAGAGAAATACTGAAATATTATGTTCTGGCAAATTAGTTGGTTATATATATATATATGCATATATCAATTATACGTTTTTGTGCAATCTGCTTACACCCCAGTAATGGGTATGTTTACACGTGGACCTTCATGCTTATATTTTTCTAATTATGGTAAGTTTTGTACAATTCACAACATACAATTTCATATGAAATCACCACGTTGTAACGAAGTTAAATTTTTCTGTTAGATCATATTGTCTATTCTCCAAACCACTTGGAACCTGGTTTGAAAAAAATTGCAGATTTCTGCTGATATGAGTGTTACTGTAATATAAAGACTGCTCCATTTGTGTATCAGTAAATATAAAGTGAAATGCTTTTTATTTAAAAATGCTTTTTTTTAGCCTATATTTAAAAATATCTTTTAAAAAAAGAGAAAAGAATTAAATATAGACATACCGTCATGTGTTCATTGTATTTTCAGTTCTTGTATTTTGTCTTCATTGCTTTTGTCCCTGTGACCTATTTTCCTGAGTTGCCCTGATTAGTTCATTCGGTTCACCTGTGTCTTGTTAGTCATTATTCCTGCTCTTATAAATATATAAATTCTTATAAATTCTCCCCATTTCTGTTCAGTCCTTTGTTGGTGATTATTGTTGTTAAGTTGGATTTGCTTTGCTGTGTCCTTGTTTCCCTGTGGATTTACGATTAAAGACTGTTGATTGAATTCTCCTTGACTGTGCACTCATTTCAGCAGAGCTACGCCATGACACATACATTATAGGGTATTATTGGCAGGAAGAGGACATATAATAAGTTCTTGATAAATAATTCAGTGAATGTGCATTTGTGTTTTCTTTCAGAGTGCTACAGAACAGGATAATGTGGTGTACGCAGGAGTCTCAAGACGTTGATCAAGTCATCAAAATGTGATTCTGTTTTTGGATTACTAACTTTCTACATCCCAAATACAGAGGCAAGAAAACAGAATCACATGTTCTTTGTGAATACAAATATATGCCTGTCAAATGCCATTATATCATAATTACACATACACTTGAAAAAAATAAAGATTCCAAAAGGTAGTTTTCATAGTGATGCCATAGAACTTTTATTTTTAAAAGTGTCAGACAGGGCTGGACTGGAGTTAAAATTCAGCCCTGGAAAAAAATCTACGCATAATATATATTATTGAATATAGGGTAGAGGGGGGTAATCCCCCCCCCCCCC